TTTTTTTGCGCTTTGTAGTGACTACTCCATAATGGTTGAGTTTGCAATAATTTCTACTTGTAGAAACAATTTCAGGCCAATCTGAAGGTTGGGGTTAGAGATAGAGCGATTTGCCTGTTTTACTCTTGTGTAATAAATCTATTACGATTTTTTTAAATAAACGGCGCAACTTATCAAGCCGAAATTTTCACAGAAGGCAGTTGGTAATGACTTCTACTTGTAGAAAAAATTTCAGGCCAATCTGATGTTTGTTGTTTGAGATAGAGTGATTTCCCCGTTTTACGTTTGTTGTGGAATAATTATACTTTTTTGTGTAATAAACCTATCACTATTTTTTAAAAATTAACGGCACAGTTTATCAAGCTGAAATTTTCACAGAAGGCAGTTGGTAATGACTTCTACTTGTAGAAAAAAATTCAGGCCAATCTGATGTTTGTTGTTTGAGATAGAGTGATTTCCCCGTTTTACGTTTGTTGTGGAAAATTTATACTTTTTTGTGTAATAAACCTATCAATATTTTTTAAAAAATAACGGCACAGCTCATCAAGCTGAAATTATCTCTGAAGGCAGATGGTAATGACTTCTACTTGTAGAAAAAATTTCAGGCCAATCTGATGTTTGTTGTTTGAGATAGAGTGATTTCCCCGTTTTACGTTTGTTGTGGAAAATTTATACTTTTTTGTGTAATAAACCTATCAATATTTTTTAAAAAATAACGGCACAGCTCATCAAGCTGAAATTTTCTCTGAAGGCAGATGGCAATGACTTCTACTTGTAGAAAAAATTTCAGGCCAATCTGATGTTTGTTGTTTGAGATAGAGTGATTTCCCCGTTTTACGTTTGTTGTGGAATAATTATACTTTTTTGTGTAATAAACCTATCACTATTTTTTAAAAATTAACGGCGCAACTCATCAAGCTGAAATTTTCTCTGAAGGCAGATGGTAATGACTTCTACTTGTAGAAAAAATTTCAGGCCAATCTGATGTTTGTTGTTTGAGATAGAGTGATTTCCCCGTTTTACGTTTGTTGTGGAATAATTATACTTTTTTGTGTAATAAACCTATCACTATTTTTTAAAAATTAACGGCACAACTCATCAAGCTGAAATTTTCTCTGAAGGCAGATGGTAATGACTTCTACTTGTAGAAAAAATTTCAGGATAAACTGATGTTTGTTGTTTGAGATAGAGTGATTTCCCCGTTTTACGTTTGTTGTGGAAAATTTATACTTTTTTGTGTAATAAACCTATCAATATTTTTTTAAAAATAACGGCACAACTCATCAAGCTGAAATTTTTACAGCAGGCAGTTGGTAATGACTTCTACTTGTAGAAAAAATTTCAGGCCAATCTGATGTTTGTTGTTTGAGATAGAGTGATTTCCCCGTTTTACGTTTGTTGTGGAATAATTATACTTTTTTGTGTAATAAACCTATCAATATTTTTTAAAAAATAACGGCACAGCTCATTAAGCTGAAATTTTTATCTGAAGGCAGATGGTAATGACTTCTACTTGTAGAAAAAAATTCAGGCCAATCTGATGTTTGTTGTTTGAGATAGAGTGATTTCCCCGTTTTACGTTTGTTGTGGAATAATTATACTTTTTTGTGTAATAAACCTATCACTATTTTTTAAAAATTAACGGCACAGTTTATCAAGCTGAAATTTTCACAGAAGGCAGTTGGTAATGACTTCTACTTGTAGAAAAAAATTCAGGCCAATCTGATGTTTGTTGTTTGAGATAGAGTGATTTCCCCGTTTTACGTTTGTTGTGGAAAATTTATACTTTTTTGTGTAATAAACCTATCAATATTTTTTAAAAAATAACGGCACAGCTCATCAAGCTGAAATTATCTCTGAAGGCAGATGGTAATGACTTCTACTTGTAGAAAAAATTTCAGGCCAATCTGATGTTTGTTGTTTGAGATAGAGTGATTTCCCCGTTTTACGTTTGTTGTGGAAAATTTATACTTTTTTGTGTAATAAACCTATCAATATTTTTTAAAAAATAACGGCACAGCTCATCAAGCTGAAATTTTCTCTGAAGGCAGATGGCAATGACTTCTACTTGTAGAAAAAATTTCAGGCCAATCTGATGTTTGTTGTTTGAGATAGAGTGATTTCCCCGTTTTACGTTTGTTGTGGAATAATTATACTTTTTTGTGTAATAAACCTATCACTATTTTTTAAAAATTAACGGCGCAACTCATCAAGCTGAAATTTTCTCTGAAGGCAGATGGTAATGACTTCTACTTGTAGAAAAAATTTCAGGCCAATCTGATGTTTGTTGTTTGAGATAGAGTGATTTCCCCGTTTTACGTTTGTTGTGGAATAATTATACTTTTTTGTGTAATAAACCTATCACTATTTTTTAAAAATTAACGGCACAACTCATCAAGCTGAAATTTTCTCTGAAGGCAGATGGTAATGACTTCTACTTGTAGAAAAAATTTCAGGATAAACTGATGTTTGTTGTTTGAGATAGAGTGATTTCCCCGTTTTACGTTTGTTGTGGAAAATTTATACTTTTTTGTGTAATAAACCTATCAATATTTTTTTAAAAATAACGGCACAACTCATCAAGCTGAAATTTTTACAGCAGGCAGTTGGTAATGACTTCTACTTGTAGAAAAAATTTCAGGCCAATCTGATGTTTGTTGTTTGAGATAGAGTGATTTCCCCGTTTTACGTTTGTTGTGGAATAATTATACTTTTTTGTGTAATAAACCTATCAATATTTTTTAAAAATTAACGGCACAACTCATCAAGCTGAAATTTTCTCTGAAGGCAGATGGTAATGACTTCTACTTGTAGAAAAAATTTCAGGCCAATCTGATGTTTGTTGTTTGAGATAGAGTGATTTCCCCGTTTTACGTTTGTTGTGGAAAATTTATACTTTTTTGTGTAATAAACCTATCAATATTTTTTAAAAAATAACGGCACAGCTCATTAAGCTGAAATTTTTATCTGAAGGCAGATGGTAATGACTTCTACTTGTAGAAAAAAATTCAGGCCAATCTGATGTTTGTTGTTTGAGATAGAGTGATTTCCCCGTTTTACGTTTGTTGTGGAAAATTTATACTTTTTTGTGTAATAAACCTATCACTATTTTTTTTAAATTAACGGCACAACTCATCAAGCTGAAATTTTCTCTGAAGGCAGATGGTAATGACTTCTACTTGTAGAAAAAATTTCAGGCCAATCTGATGTTTGTTGTTTGAGATAGAGTGATTTCCCCGGTTTACTTTTGTTGTGGAAAACATTAATTGAAGATTTTTAACAAAAGAAAAGCAGTATTCATATAGGACATTAAAAACATCTCGGATTGTTGGTTGTTCTTAGTAACGTTCAACCTGCTTGCAAACGGGGTGATCGGGTTTAGAATCGAAAAAAAAAAATCGGCGTGGAAACTAACTTATTAAAAAGGGGAAGCCTGGCTCAAAGTTTCCCCATGAGACACGGCAATGAGTCTTAGCACCTGAAATCTGATGTCTGTGTTAGGGAATCTGAACTTTTTTTTTTTTTTTTTTTTTTGCGCTTTGTAGTGACTACTCCATAATGGTTGAGTTTGCAATAATTTCTACTTGTAGAAACAATTTCAGGCCAATCTGAAGGTTGGGGTTAGAGATAGAGCGATTTGCCTGTTTTACTCTTGTGTAATAAATCTATTACGATTTTTTTAAATAAACGGCGCAACTTATCAAGCCGAAATTTTCACAGAAGGCAGTTGGTAATGACTTCTACTTGTAGAAAAAATTTCAGGCCAATCTGATGTTTGTTGTTTGAGATAGAGTGATTTCCCCGTTTTACGTTTGTTGTGGAATAATTATACTTTTTTGTGTAATAAACCTATCACTATTTTTTAAAAATTAACGGCACAGTTTATCAAGCTGAAATTTTCACAGAAGGCAGTTGGTAATGACTTCTACTTGTAGAAAAAAATTCAGGCCAATCTGATGTTTGTTGTTTGAGATAGAGTGATTTCCCCGTTTTACGTTTGTTGTGGAAAATTTATACTTTTTTGTGTAATAAACCTATCAATATTTTTTAAAAAATAACGGCACAACTCATCAAGCTGAAATTTTTACAGCAGGCAGTTGGTAATGACTTCTACTTGTAGAAAAAATTTCAGGCCAATCTGATGTTTGTTGTTTGAGATAGAGTGATTTCCCCGTTTTACGTTTGTTGTGGAATAATTATACTTTTTTGTGTAATAAACCTATCACTATTTTTTAAAAATTAACGGCGCAACTCATCAAGCTGAAATTTTCTCTGAAGGCAGATGGTAATGACTTCTACTTGTAGAAAAAATTTCAGGCCAATCTGATGTTTGTTGTTTGAGATAGAGTGATTTCCCCGTTTTACGTTTGTTGTGGAATAATTATACTTTTTTGTGTAATAAACCTATCACTATTTTTTAAAAATTAACGGCACAACTCATCAAGCTGAAATTTTCTCTGAAGGCAGATGGTAATGACTTCTACTTGTAGAAAAAATTTCAGGCTAATCTGATGTTTGTTGTTTGAGATAGAGTGATTTCCCCGTTTTACGTTTGTTGTGGAAAATTTATACTTTTGTGTGTAATAAACCTATCAATATTTTTTAAAAAATAACGGCACAACTCATCAAGCTGAAATTTGTACAGCAGGCAGTTGGTTATGACTTCTACTTGTAGAAAAAATTTCAGGCCAATCTGACGGTTGGGGTTAGAGATAGAGTGATTTCCCCGGTTTACTTTTGTTGTGGAAAACATTAATTGAAGATTTTTAACAAAAGAAAAGCAGTATTCATATAGGACATTAAAAACATCTCGGATTGTTGGTTGTTCTTAGTAACGTTCAACCTGCTTGCAAACGGGGTGATCGGGTTTAGAATCGGAAAAAAAATCGGCGTGGAAACTAACTTATTAAAAAGGGGAAGCCTGGCTCAAAGTTTCCCCATGAGACACGGCAATGAGTCTTAGGACCTGAAATCTGATGTCTGTGTTAGGGAATCTGAACTTTTTTTTTTTTTTTTTTTTTTTTTTTTTTTTTTTTTTTTTTTTTTTTTTTTTTTTTTTTTGCGCTTTGTAGTGACTACTCCATAATGGTTGAGTTTGCAATAATTTCTACTTGTAGAAACAATTTCAGGCCAATCTGAAGGTTGGGGTTAGAGATAGAGCGATTTGCCTGTTTTACTCTTGTGTAATAAATCTATTACGATTTTTTTAAATAAACGGCGCAACTTATCAAGCCGAAATTTTCACAGAAGGCAGTTGGTAATGACTTCTACTTGTAGAAAAAATTTCAGGCCAATCTGATGTTTGTTGTTTGAGATAGAGTGATTTCCCCGTTTTACGTTTGTTGTGGAATAATTATACTTTTTTGTGTAATAAACCTATCACTATTTTTTAAAAATTAACGGCACAGCTCATCAAGCTGAAATTTTCTCTGAAGGCAGATGGTAATGACTTCTACTTGTAGAAAAAATTTCAGGCCAATCTGATGTTTGTTGTTTGAGATAGAGTGATTTCCCCGTTTTACGTTTGTTGTGGAATAATTATACTTTTTTGTGTAATAAACCTATCACTATTTTTTTTAAATTAACGGCACAACTCATCAAGCTGAAATTTTCTCTGAAGGCAGATGGTAATGACTTCTACTTGTAGAAAAAATTTCAGGCCAATCTGATGTTTGTTGTTTGAGATAGAGTGATTTCCCCGGTTTACTTTTGTTGTGGAAAACATTAATTGAAGATTTTTAACAAAAGAAAAGCAGTATTCATATAGGACATTAAAAACATCTCGGATTGTTGGTTGTTCTTAGTAACGTTCAACCTGCTTGCAAACGGGGTGATCGGGTTTAGAATCGAAAAAAAAAAATCGGCGTGGAAACTAACTTATTAAAAAGGGGAAGCCTGGCTCAAAGTTTCCCCATGAGACACGGCAATGAGTCTTAGCACCTGAAATCTGATGTCTGTGTTAGGGAATCTGAACTTTTTTTTTTTTTTTTTTTGCGCTTTGTAGTGACTACTCCATAATGGTTGAGTTTGCAATAATTTCTACTTGTAGAAACAATTTCAGGCCAATCTGAAGGTTGGGGTTAGAGATAGAGCGATTTGCCTGTTTTACTCTTGTGTAATAAATCTATTACGATTTTTTTAAATAAACGGCGCAACTTATCAAGCCGAAATTTTCACAGAAGGCAGTTGGTAATGACTTCTACTTGTAGAAAAAATTTCAGGCCAATCTGATGTTTGTTGTTTGAGATAGAGTGATTTCCCCGTTTTACGTTTGTTGTGGAATAATTATACTTTTTTGTGTAATAAACCTATCACTATTTTTTAAAAATTAACGGCACAGTTTATCAAGCTGAAATTTTCACAGAAGGCAGTTGGTAATGACTTCTACTTGTAGAAAAAAATTCAGGCCAATCTGATGTTTGTTGTTTGAGATAGAGTGATTTCCCCGTTTTACGTTTGTTGTGGAAAATTTATACTTTTTTGTGTAATAAACCTATCACTATTTTTTAAAAATTAACGGCGCAGTTTATCAAGCTGAAATTTTCACAGAAGGCAGTTGGTAATGACTTCTACTTGTAGAAAAAATTTCAGGCCAATCTGATGTTTGTTGTTTGAGATAGAGTGATTTCCCCGTTTTACGTTTGTTGTGGAAAATTTATACTTTTTTGTGTAATAAACCTATCACTATTTTTTTTGTAAATAAACGGCACAACTCATCAAGCTGAAATTTTCTCTGAAGGCAGATGGTAATGACTTCTACTTGTAGAAAAAATTTCAGGCCAATCTGATGTTTGTTGTTTGAGATAGAGTGATTTCCCCGTTTTACGTTTGTTGTGGAATAATTATACTTTTTTGTGTAATAAACCTATCACTATTTTTTAAAAATTAACGGCACAACTCATCAAGCTGAAATTTTCTCTGAAGGCAGATGGTAATGACTTCTACTTGTAGAAAAAATTTCAGGCTAATCTGATGTTTGTTGTTTGAGATAGAGTGATTTCCCCGTTTTACGTTTGTTGTGGAAAATTTATACTTTTGTGTGTAATAAACCTATCAATATTTTTTAAAAAATAACGGCACAACTCATCAAGCTGAAATTTGTACAGCAGGCAGTTGGTTATGACTTCTACTTGTAGAAAAAATTTCAGGCCAATCTGACGGTTGGGGTTAGAGATAGAGTGATTTCCCCGGTTTACTTTTGTTGTGGAAAACATTAATTGAAGATTTTTAACAAAAGAAAAGCAGTATTCATATAGGACATTAAAAACATCTCGGATTGTTGGTTGTTCTTAGTAACGTTCAACCTGCTTGCAAACGGGGTGATCGGGTTTAGAATCGAAAAAAAAAATCGGCGTGGAAACTAACTTATTAAAAAGGGGAAGCCTGGCTCAAAGTTTCCCCATGAGACACGGCAATGAGTCTTAGGACCTGAAATCTGATGTCTGTGTTAGGGAATCTGAACTTTTTTTTTTTTTTTTTTTTTTTTTTTTTTTTTGCGCTTTGTAGTGACTACTCCATAATGGTTGAGTTTGCAATAATTTCTACTTGTAGAAACAATTTCAGGCCAATCTGAAGGTTGGGGTTAGAGATAGAGCGATTTGCCTGTTTTACTCTTGTGTAATAAATCTATTACGATTTTTTTAAATAAACGGCGCAACTTATCAAGCCGAAATTTTCACAGAAGGCAGTTGGTAATGACTTCTACTTGTAGAAAAAATTTCAGGCCAATCTGATGTTTGTTGTTTGAGATAGAGTGATTTCCCCGTTTTACGTTTGTTGTGGAATAATTATACTTTTTTGTGTAATAAACCTATCACTATTTTTTAAAAATTAACGGCACAGTTTATCAAGCTGAAATTTTCACAGAAGGCAGTTGGTAATGACTTCTACTTGTAGAAAAAAATTCAGGCCAATCTGATGTTTGTTGTTTGAGATAGAGTGATTTCCCCGTTTTACGTTTGTTGTGGAAAATTTATACTTTTTTGTGTAATAAACCTATCAATATTTTTTAAAAAATAACGGCACAGCTCATCAAGCTGAAATTATCTCTGAAGGCAGATGGTAATGACTTCTACTTGTAGAAAAAATTTCAGGCCAATCTGATGTTTGTTGTTTGAGATAGAGTGATTTCCCCGTTTTACGTTTGTTGTGGAAAATTTATACTTTTTTGTGTAATAAACCTATCAATATTTTTTAAAAAATAACGGCACAGCTCATCAAGCTGAAATTTTCTCTGAAGGCAGATGGCAATGACTTCTACTTGTAGAAAAAATTTCAGGCCAATCTGATGTTTGTTGTTTGAGATAGAGTGATTTCCCCGTTTTACGTTTGTTGTGGAATAATTATACTTTTTTGTGTAATAAACCTATCACTATTTTTTAAAAATTAACGGCGCAACTCATCAAGCTGAAATTTTCTCTGAAGGCAGATGGTAATGACTTCTACTTGTAGAAAAAATTTCAGGCCAATCTGATGTTTGTTGTTTGAGATAGAGTGATTTCCCCGTTTTACGTTTGTTGTGGAATAATTATACTTTTTTGTGTAATAAACCTATCACTATTTTTTAAAAATTAACGGCACAACTCATCAAGCTGAAATTTTCTCTGAAGGCAGATGGTAATGACTTCTACTTGTAGAAAAAATTTCAGGATAAACTGATGTTTGTTGTTTGAGATAGAGTGATTTCCCCGTTTTACGTTTGTTGTGGAAAATTTATACTTTTTTGTGTAATAAACCTATCAATATTTTTTTAAAAATAACGGCACAACTCATCAAGCTGAAATTTTTACAGCAGGCAGTTGGTAATGACTTCTACTTGTAGAAAAAATTTCAGGCCAATCTGATGTTTGTTGTTTGAGATAGAGTGATTTCCCCGTTTTACGTTTGTTGTGGAATAATTATACTTTTTTGTGTAATAAACCTATCAATATTTTTTAAAAATTAACGGCACAACTCATCAAGCTGAAATTTTCTCTGAAGGCAGATGGTAATGACTTCTACTTGTAGAAAAAATTTCAGGCCAATCTGATGTTTGTTGTTTGAGATAGAGTGATTTCCCCGTTTTACGTTTGTTGTGGAAAATTTATACTTTTTTGTGTAATAAACCTATCAATATTTTTTAAAAAATAACGGCACAGCTCATTAAGCTGAAATTTTTATCTGAAGGCAGATGGTAATGACTTCTACTTGTAGAAAAAAATTCAGGCCAATCTGATGTTTGTTGTTTGAGATAGAGTGATTTCCCCGTTTTACGTTTGTTGTGGAAAATTTATACTTTTTTGTGTAATAAACCTATCAATATTTTTTAAAAAATAACGGCACAGCTCATCAAGCTGAAATTATCTCTGAAGGCAGATGGTAATGACTTCTACTTGTAGAAAAAATTTCAGGCCAATCTGATGTTTGTTGTTTGAGATAGAGTGATTTCCCCGTTTTACGTTTGTTGTGGAAAATTTATACTTTTTTGTGTAATAAACCTATCAATATTTTTTTAAAAATAACGGCACAGCTCATCAAGCTGAAATTTTCTCTGAAGGCAGATGGCAATGACTTCTACTTGTAGAAAAAATTTCAGGCCAATCTGATGTTTGTTGTTTGAGATAGAGTGATTTCCCCGTTTTACGTTTGTTGTGGAATAATTATACTTTTTTGTGTAATAAACCTATCACTATTTTTTAAAAATTAACGGCGCAACTCATCAAGCTGAAATTTTCTCTGAAGGCAGATGGTAATGACTTCTACTTGTAGAAAAAATTTCAGGCCAATCTGATGTTTGTTGTTTGAGATAGAGTGATTTCCCCGTTTTACGTTTGTTGTGGAATAATTATACTTTTTTGTGTAATAAACCTATCACTATTTTTTAAAAATTAACGGCACAACTCATCAAGCTGAAATTTTCTCTGAAGGCAGATGGTAATGACTTCTACTTGTAGAAAAAATTTCAGGATAAACTGATGTTTGTTGTTTGAGATAGAGTGATTTCCCCGTTTTACGTTTGTTGTGGAAAATTTATACTTTTTTGTGTAATAAACCTATCAATATTTTTTAAAAAATAACGGCACA